CCCCCACCCCCCGCGCGGAGGCCCTTCCCGGCCCTCTGCGCATGCGCCACTTTACCCCGCCCCTTGATCGGGGCGCATGCGCCCCCCTAGCCCCGCCCACCGACAGCTCTATAAATACCCCCACGCGCGGGCGCTCGGCCTCTTTCTCGGCGGGCGGCGATGGCGGGTGGAGGTATGTGCTATGAGGCGGCCGGGCTGCGGCCTTCCTCTTACCCTTCCCTTGTCTTTAAAACCTCGACCCAACGTGGATATCCGGAGAAGTCGCTCTCTCTCGGCTCTGTCCCTGTGGCGCACGGGAGCGTAGGCCTTCGGGCCGCTGACGTACAGTCCCTTTCCACGACGTTGGAGAACAAGCCGGGCCTCGGGCCTGCAGCCTGCATATTCCTACTGCTTCCCCGAGCCCTCGGGCCGTGACGGGGGAGATAAACCATGCAGGAAACAGCTTTTCCACCCAAAATGGCTTCGGGTGGGTGGGGAGACATGGGCCGCTCTGCACCGTTTTGGGGGGTGGGGGGGTGAAAGGAGAAATCGAGCAGTTACTTACAGTGCATTCTCTTTACTATTTCCAGTTCTAAAATTCAAAATGTTTGAAAAGAGCGGAGCGCTGGTTTGGAAGGTGAGTAATATAATATTGCACTGATAACGTCTCGTTCTTGGCTGTGCATAGTTTCACGGTAAAGTTTATGCCTTAAGTAAGCTTGAGCTATTTCCAAGGAGCTTTACGGAAACTGAGTTGGATGGGGTTGAAGTAATTTTATACCGATGTAGGTTTTATAACCGTTGTTTAACAGCGAAAGCTCGGTTTAGGCGTTCCCTAGCTTCTCGGGGTTTATTGGCCTCTGGATGGACGGGGGGAAAGAGGCAGATTGCTGAACCTTTTTAAATAAGAGGAATAAAAAAATCTTTAGGGAAGTGGAACGATTGATCAGCTTTGAGGCCTTATTTGTGCCACGTGGGAATTGGGGAAAGCAGAAACAAACTTAGTGAAAAGTCAAGAAGTCTTAGACCCCTTTAACTGCCCTTTCGTGCGCGTTAATCGGTCCCAGTGGGCCTTTTATCCCCGGTAAAGAAGAACGTGTAATTAATGTGGGGCACTGGGCTGATACTGGGGGAAGGCACGTGGTAGGCACATGTAACACTTGGTTAGGAATGGAGAAATGGCTGGACTTAAACTGGTCATCAAGTATGTGATATGTTATGTGCTTCTTGCCGACCTGTAAACTTTCCTAATTTTTTTTTTTTTGTTTTCAAAATTATTACAGATACAGATTGTGATTAAATGCTGAGAGAAAAGGATCCACGTGTCTAGTGGGAGAGGGTGAGTATACGGAGAGTACTGCCCAAATAATAAAGGTGATGGCTAAGGTTCAGTTCATGCCAAAATGTAGCTACAGAGATGGGAATGGGCTGGAAGAGCCCTGTATATCAGAAGAAAAGGCCTGGTCATGTGAGGCGTTATGTAGTTGCTGAATTTTGGTACAATGAAACTTGGGGCTGAGCTGCCCACAGGGAAAGCTGATGGAACCACGGGGCTGCAGTGAATTTGGCATGTACGTGTGTGAAAGGCGCTGCAGAGTCACGGGCAGGACTCCCAAGTGGCCTGACCCAGCGGGAAGGAGCTGCCTGTGGGGTGCTCTCAAAGGGTGGGAACCCGGGGTGTAAGAAAGGAGTGAGGAAAAAAAAGCCACGTGCTGTCTGTGTGGACTTGGCGCCAACTGCCAGGAGGACATCAATCCACCCAACGCAGCTCCAGCGTGTCGAGGACATTCTGGGGGAAACAAATACCGGAGGGGTGGCTCACAGGACGTGGGCAAGAGCAGTAATTTGAACATCTGTGTTAATTAAAATAAGACCCTGAAGTATTTATTGATTGTAAACCTGTATCTAGGTACAGTAGAAAACTAAATAAACTTTATTTTCATTGCTTGGTGTGTATTTCTTTGTGAGTGATGGCTTGGTTAGTGCTGGAAATAAATCATGGGTGCTCCTGTTGGTGCCTCTTGTTTGGGAGTCAGAAGTGGGATTCCTGTGAGATAATCGTGTGTCCTCTCCAAAACGTGATGGTGAAAGGTGGAGAAACCCATTTCAAACCTGTGGTTTTAGCTGCTCAGGCTGGATTTGGAGCAGGCAGTGCCTTCAGTGTAGTTTTGGATCATCTCCTGGCAGATGAATCCTCATAGCAGCCATTAAAGGCTAAACCCAGAATGGTTGCTGTGGTCCGCAGCCCGGGTGTGCCGCTGGGGAGGAATGGCAGGTCCTCTGCAATAAAAGAACAATGCTGATGGCATCGGCAGCTTTTGTGAGGGTTATGCTTAAATTAAAGGTTACAACACTGATTAATGAGTTACCAACTGCCGGCATGCAGCAGTTGGCTCCTGCCTGTGGCCCTCCTGAAAGCCAAAGGGTCAGGTGATGGGTGCGTATGGATACACGCCCGGATTGTTCCTCCGATAAACGGGGGTTGTGCCCCTCTGGAAGGGTTTTCTGGTTACGCGGCCCACTGGAGAGGGAGAATAAAAGTGGGCTTTCCAGCTAAAGCAGCGGGGTGGTGGAAAGGTGGAGTGGTGTATAACAAAGATGAGGATGGAGAACTGATATGGGGGGAACCATGTGGTCAACAGGATCTGCCCCCAGTCGCTGAGCCCCCACAGGAAGCCAAAGCTTTTGGCTTTATTTCAAGTTAATGGTAATAATTACAGGGACCAAAAAGTTCCAAAACTCCAATAACTGGACTCCTGGAGTCCTTGGAACTCTTATCTTAAGGAGTCCAGTTGAAAGGATTAATCTGTGATGACAAATGACACCAGTTTTCAAATAAACAAAGTCCTGGAGCCTTACAACATTTGGCACAAATGCCAAAAATAAATTAAAATAGACAAAGTCGTGGTTGAGCACTGACCGCAACTGGGAAACCTGCTCACTCTCTCCATTAACGACCCACAATCGATGTCAGAGTGTCTCCTAGCATCGCAAGGAGCATGTGTGTCACCGAACTTGTTGCTTTTATACAAGCCAATCCAAACTGATGGAATAAGGGGTAAATAAGTTAAATCGTAGACGGGTTTGGGTCGGAAGGGACCTTCAAAGATCACCTGGTCCAAGGAGTGGGGTCGTCTTCAACGGGATCGGGCTGCTCAGAGCCCCGACCAACCTGACCTGGAATGTTTCCAGGGATGGGGCACGTCCCACCTCTCTGGGCAACCTGTTAATAAGTTTGTATAATAAATTTTAAGTTCATCAGATAGCTCTAGAACAAGCTTTGCCTGGGCAGCATCTCTGCCGCGACCTGCGAGCGTGCACCCGCCGCATTGCGTTTAATACTCTGCCGTGCTTCGTTATCAGCGCTCAATTAGTCTCTCCTTGGGTTAAATATCTTATTTTTGGGGAGGGGGACGGTGTCTCCCCCGCCTGCGCTGGGCTTTTGGGCGGGGGGGTGTGGGGTGGTTGTTCGGTCCTCCGGCCGGCAGGGGGCGCTGTGCCCGGCGAGCGACCGGCGCTGGGCCTC